TGACCAGTTCACCAAGAGTTCCAGGACCAGCATAGAAACCACAGAGTGTTGAGATATTTGACACGGTCTCTCCGGTTCTGATGGAAACATTACGAAGGTGATCAGACGCATCTGTATATATTCAAAAAAAAAAAAAAAGCAGCAAAATATAAACGTTTTTGATTGTAGATAAATCTTGAAACATGGTAAGAATTTCAACTTTATAAAGAATTTTAAGGATTGAGATTTGGTTTAGAACAAAAATTGAAAATATATATTAACGAAACGAAAACAAGCGGTAAAGAAATAAAAATTAGAGATTTTTAACTAAAGCTCCAATCAGATACATAATATTTAAAACAATTCTTTTCGGACCCGATGTGTGCCCTTTCCAAATATTTACAAAACCTGTCATATTTTTTCTAATGAAATACTGTAGTACTTCGTTTTATTATAAATAGCAACCTTATTGGACAAAGGTTTTATACAAAAATGGGGAAAATTTGAAAAAAAAAATTAAACGTTATCTGGAGAATTGAATGTTCACAATGCGGACTTATTGCCTGACGCCACGAGCGTCAGACAGCATAATGGTCAATTTTTCCATGGCCCGGAACTAAGAGACTGTAAGCTAGGTTTTGTGCAAGCTGATTGACATAGGAATTTTATCTGCATCAGCTTGCAGAAGAAAGAATCATAATTATGAAGCAAAATATTGATTTTTTTACTTGCTTCAGATTTTTTTTCAACTCCGCCATATTGGAGGTCGACTCGGTGACTTTTCCTCTTTGTCTTACCAAGTTTAAGAAAATATAGCAGCAATATTTGGTGGAAAATATTTATTAAATATTTTTTTTTAAATAAAGGAGGCTTCCAAAAATTTATATACTTCAGAAAAATAATGATTCCTAAATTGGTTGAACAATGAAGGAATATGAGCATTTGGACGTCCAGTATGGCGGCCAACGGGAGGTAACTTTTGCTAAAAGGTCCATCGAAAACTCTCTATATGTACATATACTTGTAACAGTTTCTCTGCGTTTCTAAACTGTTTGTCTTCTACGAAAATTGTCTAATGCGAAATATAAACGTCATAGCCCCACCCACTCAATAGTTATGGGCTAGGTTAAAGTTGACAAACAGAAAGACAGCACAAAAACAATTTATCGATTTTATCGATCCGGGGGTATACAAAATCATGTTTTGTATAGAGTCATTAAAATATAACGTATGGAAATGCTTTAAATATATTATAAAAGTAGGTTCTGAGGTATTTCAACAAACTTAAATCAACACTTCCTTAGAATGCTTTTGTGACACATTATGGTTTTGTTGCTTATAGGATAATTTTTTTTATTGCTATAGCCTTTGTATTCCTTTGTCCACTTTATTGCTCCTCTGAGTATTCTTCTGAATTTCAAATGTACATTACTTTTTTTTATGCTTTAAAATTGATGATCAATCATCATGATGGCTTTTTGAAGAATTTTACCTATTTTTACCATGCATTCCTACGTAAAAACTTGGTCACCTATTGTGGCCCCACCCTTGCCAAAGGGGTAATGATTTGAATAAACTTGAATCAACAATACACAAATATACATGGACCATTGCTTCCAAACTTTTCAATTACAATAAAACTTTACATGGCCTGGATACCGAGTATCTGAAACATAATCCTCCATCGTGTTCATGTTCTTCTTCGCCATATAACTATAGTTCTGCTGGATACGTTGTTACAGGTGACGTAAATATAGTTAATACATGAAAGGAGGACCTTAAATCACTTATTTTAAAAGGTCCTAAATATAGGGAAATCAGATCCTTGAGAAGATTTTCCCTAAGTTTTCCTTTCTTTAACTTTAATCCCACATTGTGCCCCCCCCCACCGCTTGTTAGGTTCATGATTTGAACAACCTTGAATCTACACTCTCAGAGGATACTTAAATATAACTATGACCAAACACGGCTTTGCAGTTCTTGAAAAAAAAATGTTTTTAAGATTTTTCCTATGTGTTTTTATGTTAAACTTTGATACCACATTGTGGCCCAAACCTACCCCTGTGGATCATGATTTGAAGAAATTTGGAATCTTCGAATCTTCGCTACCTGAGGATGATTCAACATGAGTTTCATCTTTCCTGGCCTAGTCGTTCTAGAGAAGATTTTCAAAGATCCTTCCTGTGTATTCCTATGTTGAACGTTGATACCCGATTGTGGCCCCACCCTACACCTGGGGGTCATGATTTGAACAAAATTGAATCTACACTACCTGAGGATGATTCCACAGGAGTTTCATCTTTTCTGGACTAGTGGTTCTTGAGAAGACGATTAAGAAGATACCATTAATTATTCACAAATTCATAATTATCTCCCCATGGAAGAGGGTGTGGCCCTTCATTTAAACAAACCTGAATCCCCTTCACCTAAGGATACTTTGTGGCAAGTTTGGTGGGAATTGGCCCAGTGGTTCTTGAGAAGATGATGAAAATGAAAAGATAATAATTAATAACAAGAACGACAGACAACGGACAAATTTTGAACAGGAAAGCTCACTTGAGCCTTCGGCTCTGGTGAGCTAAAAATGAACGGAAACATTTCTTTCTTAATTATGTTTATATGTTTTATAGACCGATGCCTTTCCATTGGCTGCTGCAACGACCGCCAAATGATACAGGGAATCTGTAAAGTCCTTAATGTACGAATTTGTTCTTCATATACAATGGCTCGAGTTTCCTCTAAGAGTTTAGTAGTTTCAGACATTTCAGACATTTTTTCCGGGAAACACAACCGATACACAGAAGAACATTAGCACAAGAAACACACGTTATTTTTCCCCATTGAGAGCCTCAGTCTCAAATGAGATGAAGTTCAAGGTCACGTAATCATACAAGTTTGTGTCTTTTCATAGTTCAGACGCGAGTGATGTTAGAGAATTCTTTTCAGATTTTATTAATCACTTTAATTAAATTTTCCACTGATTTTGTAGCCAGTGGTTTGTAGCAATATTGCTTGTACAGAACACATGTTCTTTGCGCTTTTCCCATGTGGGAATTGTAGCATTTAGCGTTGCATTCTTTCAACATGTGTTGATAAAGACGTGCAGCTTTTGATTCAGTGACGTCACTGATGCAGGGGCTGTAGCCCCGTGCGCCATTTAACTTTTACACGCCATGTGGTGTGGAGTTAGCGTTTGAGAATCTTTTAATTTCTGCATTCTTTCTTGGCGGCATGGCTAATGAGCCGGGACCATGATCGCAAATGCGAGACTCACCAGCTATGATCTAGTAGATCAAGTTGACGAGGATGCCGTTCGTGACGATAACACGATGCATTCGAAGCAGCATACTGAAAATATGAGTGGTATGTTTGACACTTTTCAAGCGTAAATTTGCAGATATGTCTAAGACCATGACTTCAGTTCAAAAGGAACTTATTGCTTTGAAGTCTGATCGGTCTTCAACGGATACAATTCCGGACGTTTCGAGGAAACGCGGACAGAATAGATCTAAGAGTACTTCGCCACCTCGCAAGAAAACGAAAACGTCTCAAGCGTGTCTTTCGTCCTTCTCACGAACTTAGTGATAATGATTCTGATGTAGAAAATTCAGACAAATCGGATGCTGATGAAGCACTTAATTCCCTTATTGAGGGAGATGATAGTTTTCATGATTCGTCAGATGATGATGGCAACTATGCTCTTAATGAACTGTCCGAATTTTTCGGTGATGAAGAAAAACAGCGAACCGTTAAGTTCTGAGCTGGCAAAGATCATGGAGAAAATGTTCATGACGAAAACTAACTCGGAGAAAATTAAAGAAATCTCCAACAAGTATGATAGGCCGAAGAACATTAACAACATTTCTGCGCCAAAAGTCAACAAAGTCATTTGGGAAAACATGTCATCCAAAAACAGAGCAAGCGATATCAAATTGCAGACTACCCAGAATCTATAGGAAAAGCCATGATTCCGACATTGAGACTTTTTGACATGCTTATTAATTGCAACTCGAAAAAAGGATCAGTTGATGTGAAGAAGGAAAAACAGCTGTGCGGTGACATCCTGAAGTTTCAGAAGTGTGTTTTCCATTTGTCCTACAAGAGGCGGGAACAAATTATCCAGCCAGAGAAAAACAAACAGTTTGTAAGTTTGTGTTCTGCAAAGAGTTCTTCAGAAAATTTATTCAGAGACGACTTGGGCAGTCAAAAATGTGCTTGAAGCAAAGAAACTGGCTCAAAAGATAGGAAATAAAGATTACAGTGGAAAATACAGAATTCCCAAAGTGTCCCATTACTCCCATAGCTATGGGAAGAAGCCAAGGTAGGAAGGGGAAAGGGAATTTTTTTTGGCCAAACAGTTCAGCTTCAACAAGAAAAAGAAGAAAGGAGAGTCAAATCAGTAGATTCACATGATGTTAGTATGTCTAATGTTTGTACAATTGTAGATCAATTTGTATTGAAAAACACGCCTGAAAATTTTACTGCAGGCAAAATCAACAATTTTTTACATAATTGGTGTACATTAACTCATGATAGTTGGATTTTGATGTTGTTAAAGGTTACAAGATAGAATTCAAATATGAACCTTTTCAATTTCACATACCAAATTCGCTAAAATTTTCTGAAAATGAGTATGAAGCAGCTCAAAGAGAAGTAGAAAAATTTTTAAAGAAGGGAATTGTAGAGAGCGTTCATGAAAATGAGAATTTGTGTGAAAACTCTTTTTATTCAAACATTTTTCTGCGTCCCAAGATGGGTCTTTTAGAATTATTCTGAATTTAAAGAATTTAAATGAGTTTGTTGACAATCATCATTTCAAGATGGAGACATTGAGGTCAGCATTATCTTTAATAAAACCAAATTGTTGGTTTAGTTCACTTGATATCAAAGATGCTTATTATTCCGTGAAAATTCATAAATGTAGTAGACAATTCTTAAGATTCAGGTGGGAAAATAAAACGTATCAGTTCACCTGTCTACCTATGGGATTAGCCAGTGCTCCACGTATTTTTACTAAAATCATGAAGCCTGTTTTTGCTGAACTTAGGAAATTTGGTCACTTGAATGTAATTTACATAGATGATGTTTTGTTATTGGGCAACACAAAAGATGAGTGTGAAGTTAATTTAAGAGACACTGTTAAGTCTTTAGATAGTCTAGGATTTACTATTCACCCTGATAAAACTCAGTTTTATGCAAGCCAGAATGTTGTCTTTCTGGGATTTTTATTAGATTCGGTTACAATGACGGTTAGACCAGAGAAAGCTCAATCTATTAGACCAGAGAAAGCTCAATCTATTAAAGAATTTTGCGATATGGTTTTGAATCAAAATGAAGTGACAATTAAACAGGTTGCACAGCTTGTAGGCATGTTTGTAGCCTCTGAACCAGGGGTGGAATATGCCAGACTTTATTATAAGACCTTAGAAATTGAAAAAGATTTGGCTTTAAAACTTAATCGAGGCAATTTTGAAGCCCATATGACAATTTCTCATCAGAGTAGGATACTGCTAAACTGGTGGTCTCTTAATGTGTGTAAATCCTTTAAACCATTAACTAGAAAACCCCAAAATTCATTTTCAAAAGTGATAGTTCAAGTTGCAATGGGGTGGAGTGAATGAAGATTCAGGTGAAGCAATTAGTGGATTATGGGACAATAATATTTGTGAGGCACACATTAACTATTTAGAGCTTTTAGCTGGATTTTACACTCTAAAAGGATTGGGAGAAAATATTTCAGATTCCCATATTAGACTGTGTATGGACAATTCAGTAGCCGTGTCATATGTTAATAAGCAAGGGGGCAAGATTTCAACATTGAATGAACTAGCTCGTGAATTATGGACTTGGTGCATAGATAGGAACATCTGGCTTAGTGCTGAACATGTCCAGGGTGCAACAAACATTATAGCCGATTCGTTATCTCGCAAAAATGTAGATATGGAATGGAAGTTAGATGAAGTGGTTTTTGATAAACTGACAAATTTGTGTGGAAAATGTGAAGTAGATTTATTCGCATCAAAACACAACCATCAGTTAAATAAATATTATTCATATACACCAGATCCAAATGCATTAGGAGTTGATGCCTTTGCACATTCTTGGAGAAATATTGACTGTTATTTATTTCCTCCTTTTAGTGTCATAAGCAGTGTCTTGAAGAAGATCGAGGAGGAGGAAGTGCAGTTTGCTCTGTTGATAGCTCCAGTGTGGAAGACGCAGCCATGGTTTCCGCAGCTGATGCATCAAGTTGCAGGTCCGTGTTTTCTTCTTCCGAAAACAGAGACTCTCTTGAATTTGCCAAAAGATCCAAAACGACGACATCCCTTGACAAAGATGAAGATAGCTGCATTCAGTTTGTCCGGCAATGCTTGTTCAGTAGAGAATTATCAGGAGAAACTGTCAATATTATCTGCAGATCATGGCGGGAATCCACAAAAAGACAATATAGGGGTTATCAGCAAAAGTGGTTGCAGTTTTGTTGTGAAAAACAGAGTGATCCATTTAAAACAGATGTTAATTTAGTTTTAGAATTTCTTACAAATTTGTATAAGAAAAATCTTGGTTACAGTGCTTTGAACACGGCAAGAAGCTCATTAAGTTCATTTTTGTCTCTTCTTTATCACTCGAGTGAAAAATAGGTGATCATATATTAGTTAAACGTTGTATGAAGGGTGTATTTTTGTCAAGACCAACTTTACCCAAATATCATTTTATATGGGATGTAAATAAGGTTTTAGGATATCTTAAGACATTGTCTCCTGTGCAGGATTTGTCTTTGTTTCAATTGTCAAAGAAATTGGCAATGTTGTTAGCTTTATTATCTGGACAGCGAAAACAAGGTTTACATCTCCTAGATGTTAGAAATGTTTCTGTGAGAGATAATATGTTAATCATTAAATATGGTGACTTGTTAAAGCAAACAAGACCAGGGCATCATTTAGATGAAATTTCTATTGCTGCTTATCCAAATGATATAGATTTATGTATTGTACATGTATATGAGGAATATATTCATAGAACTAAAAAATTGAGGGGCTCAGAATGTAAATTGTTTACAGTACCCGCATCGTTATTCTTTACAATTCTATCGTGTTCTATCGTGCGTGTATCCTATCGTATCGTGCGTGTATCCTATCGTATCGTGCGTGTATCCTATCGTATCCTATCCTATCGTGTTTTCCGCTTATCAGGTTTTGCGTTTTCTATCGTGTTTTCCGTTTATCGTGGTTTGCGTTTATCGTGTAGATCGTTTATCAGGTTCTATCGTGTATCGTGTTTTGCGTTTATCGTGTATATTCGGAAACCCTCGCTTTTTATCGTTACTATGTAAAGAAACTACTGAGCTATTCCGAATTTCTTTTTCGTTTTGTTAATAGAAATAAGATTAATTCGACCGGAAAAGAGAAAATAAAGATTTATCTCCTTCTTTTTCATCAATATAAGAAATATTAAAGCGTAGAAGGAAAAAATAATTAATCGCGTATTTCATGAATGAATAAATTGATTTATTAAAAGATAATTAAATAAATAAATAAAATAAGTATATCATGGTAAAGCAGAGAGTGATTGTCAAAAATTAAACTGTAGCCCTATTTTTCAGAAATGAAATTATAGTCGATCACTTCTCTTTTTTAAAAAAAATAGTTTATCGAATTGTATGATTTATTTTGTCAATATTAAATATTATTAATATCATTTTCTTAAATGAATCAAAGTTACTGGAAAAAGATTTTTGGCAAGCTACGATGTTCGCGTAGACAAAAAGCAAATAAATAAATAATAAGCAGGATATTGAAATGTGTCTGTTTTTCATGCAATAAATTATCGTCTGATAAGGTTAGAAATATGTTTTACGCATTTGACCTGCATATATGCATTATTATTTAAAGTCTTTATGATGTTACAAATATAATATAAGACAATGATCCAGATGATTTTAAAAACGATTTTGGCCGTATATACGTTCAAACTTTTAATTTAATTTTTAAAGCTAACTATAAATTCCTTGACATATGTCTAAATTAATAAAAGAAATCAAAATTATCATATATAATCAATGAAAATATTCTACCCAATTTATCACACCATGGCTGTTACTATAAAATAAGAGATTTTCATTAATTTTATCTGGCATTAGATAACATAAAAATAATATGTACATGTACAGGGGAAAACATGAAGTTTTTTAACAGCTTACTTTTCGGCGTGGAAATAAACTCAAAATATAATCCATCGGGATGCCAAAAATCAAAATAAATCGAAGACCTTTCCTTACAAGAAAACTGACACGTATGTGTAGCCCTCTAATTAGCACACTGTCTTCCTGTGCGGTCAACCGCCCCCTCCCCCTTCTCCCCTAACTGACACCTCGGCCCGTGTGTGTGTGATCACCGTCAACATACCTGTACTGGGTGTCCAGTCTGTCAACTCGAAATTTTGTTCCCAACTTGTTTGAACAATTTTATCAAAGATTTAATTCAAAATACATTAAATAATTGTACGATTTATGGATTAAAAAATCATCTTGAATGTTAAATAAAAATTAAAATAAATCAATTTAATGAAATGAAGTCCCTAAACTCACTCCGTTGATTCTTTTATATTTCGTACAATGTTTCCATTATGTTTATGTAAATACGTCTTTTAAAAAACATAAAAAAAATATACTGCACTTATGGTACGTGCACTTTCGGGTCATCGGGTTTTCTACGTAAAACGGACAAAATTAATTCTAGGAAACAATTTTATTGATCGTAGAAACGGATAAAATAGTTCTAACATTCTAAACTAGGAAAATTAGCTTGCAATATTTTTTTAACGGTATCTTACTATAAAAATAAAACAAAGGGAGTCGTCTGATCCGCCGTGACCAAGCAAGACTAATAAAGACACAGAATCAATTTATAGTATTAATCGATTTTATTCCATACCTATATAACTTTATTTAAGAATTCAATATTATATTTGGCTATTTGGTTAAATATTGTTTATCTAATTTAAAATTGGTTGCGGACTTTCAAAATACCGCCCTTCGAATATGCCTAATATGAGATTACCGGGTCAGTGTAAAATGATTTTTAAGGTTTAAAAAATCCATTTGCCGAATTAAACCTATTTTTATTATTATTAGAAACAGTACACACAGAGTTTAATAGCAATGATTTATAATTATTTAGTCGAAAAAGTCGCATTTCACTCTTTTAATATTTGTTAATTAATTTTTCTGTTTTGTATTGTTAAGAAGAAAGTATTTAACCATTCAATGTTCGTTAATAAATACGAGATTTTAAGTATCTGTAATGTAAAATGTTTACATGTACATAAGTCAGAGCTTAGCGTAAACGTACATGTGCAGTTGTAGCAGATTCATATTCTCATGACACAGTTTACATGTATTTATGCAGATCGCAATAATTTTAATAATTATTTAGATTTCTATTCAGAAAATTTAATTTTCTTGAACTGTTTCGTTCTTGATAGATCTATCATGTTAAATTTATTAATTTTGTTATAGCCGTTTTCTTTAAACCTTTCTTTCGGCCAGTCCTCTACTTTTATTATTTTCTAAGATATTAATATTTAATTGCGATTTTTGGATACATTGCAGATTGTAAGCTTTAGACATTACACTGTAAATAATTTTTTTTAATTTATTGCGTAAATTTCTTCCGTGAAATAACTTGGTACTTGTAGATAAATTTATTAGATAGAAAATTAAAATGCATATTTTTCATAAGTAATAAATCTGTTTATAGAGTTTCAAAATTCACACACTTGGGAAGAAATTAAAAAAAAAATACAGTCTCCATTTCATAAAAATCCATTAAATCACTGTCAATTTTTTTATATATATAAATAAACAACTTCTGTAAAATTAATACTGAGATCTCAGGTCCTTTTTATAATAATTAAATGTACTTTATAGTTTAGATTTGAAGTCTGCGACTATTTAAATTAAAATATGATTTAATTTAAATAATCTTTAATCTTTAGATTTAATTCAAAATAATCTTTTCGTCTTGTCAAAAAACGTTCCGCATTTTGAAACAATCCTATCAGGTTTTGCGTTTATCCTATCGTGTAGATCGTTTATCAGGTCTATCGTGTTTTGCGTTTATCGTGTTTTGCGTGTATCGTGTTTTGCGTTTATCGTGTTTTGCGTGTATCCTATCGTGCGTGTATCCTGTCCTATCGTGCGTGTATCCTATCGTATCGTGCGTGTATCCTATTGTATCGTGCGTGTATCCTATCGTATCGTGTATCCTGTAAAGAATAACGATGCGGGTACTGTATAAGTACCCAAAAGCCTCACAATCCAATTTCTGTAGATACCATTGGTCGCTGGATCAAATCAGTTATGACAAATGCTGGAATAGACATGAACTGTTTTTCCCTCGCATAGTACACGATCAGCAGCAACTAGTGCTGCAGCTAAAGCTAAGGTGTCTGTTGCCACAATTCTGAGAACAGCAGGTTGGACTACTGACAATACCTTTAGAAAATTTTATAACAAACCAGTTAAACTGTCTAGTGAATTCAGCAATGCTTTGTTGGACAATTTTCAAAATGACAACTTGTAGCAGATTATATATGGAAATGTGTTCATCAATCTGAGTTGGAGTTAATAAAGTTAGTTAAAACTTGTTTGCATTTATTTGGTAATGAAGTTTGTGATCTATTTTTATTGGGTCATCAACTCTGAAGTCTCATTTGAGACTGAGGCTCTCAATGGGGAAAAATTATAAAGTTAAACGAGACTTACCTGGAAGGTGAAGTTTGACTGTAATTTTTCCTCCATTGAGAGACGTAGGGATCAAATGCCCAACCCTATGGATTTTCCGAGTCCCGCCCTATTATTTTGTGTATAACTTGATGCCCCAATATTTACTACTACTCCTCTGAATTATGATTACGTGACCTTGAACTTCATCTCATTTGATCCCTACGTCTCTCAATGGAGGAAAAATTACAGTCAAACTTCACCTTCCAGGTAAGTCTCGTTTAACTTTATAATTTATCTCCACATGCATTCTATAGCTGGCCTGTAAGCTACTATCATACAACTATAATAACATTTGTGACAATGTTCTCAGGTGTTCACGGGTGAGTTGTCCTCACTGGCTACATGGGTTAGAAAACGTGAAAATAGACAAATGCACTTAAACGAATAACAAAGGGATTTATATATTTATACATACTCAATGGTATGCCCCCAG